GGACGCCTCCGATCTTGCAGCAAAGCTTTGTCAGTTGGCAGACCCTAAGGCCGCTCAGACCGAGCCTGCCGCCACGAACTTAGGAGAGGATTTCGCCGCGGGAGCCAGACTAAGGAATACGGGAAGGGAAACTCCCAAGGCCAGGAATGGGAAGTTAAAGAATCGACTCCGCTGCTTACGAGCACTTCGCGCCGCAGGAACAGACACCAAGATGATTTGGAGCGCTGGCCTTCAGCAGGCCGGTTACTTCGGGACCGACATTCTGGGTCTCACGGTTCAGGGACTCCAGGGCGCGCAAAATCTGTTCCTGAAGGTTGCGGGGCCCAGGTGTGCTACTCGGTCGCGTGCCCTGTCGCTTGCTGTTCTTGAAAGCCCCACTTGGACATCAGTTGCGGGGCCGTGCACGCATTGGAGTATGATAGCTTTCAGGGCAGCCCAAGATCTAAGGAAATCCGAGTTCAGGCTTCCCCAACTTAGACAACTTGCAACTAACATCCTAGAGAAACCACCTTAAGGCTGAGGTAATATCAGAGGTCCTGTCTGTTTACGTTTACCCAGAACTGGCTGGTCATGGATCAACCCCATGGAATCCACGAGCAGGGAAGGCGAGGTCTACCCGCTCACCACCAGCTCGCCAGCTCTCATTCGTCGCATGCTCGAGGCGTCTTGGCAGGAGCAGCAGGCCGAGACCGTGGCTGCAAAGATGGGAGTGCTTGCAGTTGACATGCTCACGCTGAAGCATCTCTCGCCGACAAACGACTTAGCAAACAAGATCGTAGCCTCCTCGTGCCGTACCTGACCCAATCAAGTTGGACCAACTGTAGACTCAAAGATGCGGGCTGCGACGCGGACGCGACGTGCATTTGTGGGGCCCCACCAGACCACGTATACCATAGGCTTCTGGCGTGCCCCGGTAGCGCTGAGTTTCGGGAAGAATACCTAGCGGAAGGTGACCTCGAAGACCTGGGATACCCCCAGGCCTTTGCTGTGTGTGCTGGTTTTCCTGACCCTCCGCCCTTTCAGGTCTCGAGGCCCATTGGTCTTGGCCTTGATGCGGCCCAGTTTTGGTCCCGAAATGGCCGTTCGCCTTCGGAAGCCAAGAGAACGACTTGTTTCAATTTCTCAGTCCTGGACACTATAACCCGCATGTGTGGAAGACAATCGCCAGCTGGTACACCTTTTCTTAAACTGCCCTTGATTTCTGCGCCCTGGTCTGGACATGCGCCTCCAGCCGGCGGCGCTTCTTCAGCCGGTGTGTCGTGCAGACACGGCGTTATTGATTGATTGATTGTTCATGTTGACGGTAGGGGTGCCAAAGACGACCGTCCGTGGTTCCGCGCCCCAGGATGGGCCACGGTGAAATGTGATGCCCACGGAGAAATTGAGGCCTACCTTTGTGGGCCAGTAGGCAGTGCCCTCCCGCCCACGCCCCCTGCGGCGGAGTTTCTAGCGTACCTTGCCTCCAGCCAGTTCAGAGGAGTGACTAAGATTATCTGACTTCGAAGGTGCGGTGAATGTCCACAACTCGGGCCAGCCCGCTAGTGGGAAGAATATGTACGATGGGCTGGGCTCTATGGCCAGGCGAGGTGAAGCCAGTTGCGCAGGCGGTTTTGAAGTTGTCAAAGTTAAAGCCCATTAAGATTTAGATTCCCCGGATCGCTACTCTGACGAGTGGCGGCATGCTTCGGGGAACGATGCAGCAGACAGAATTGCCAAACTAGCAGCTTCGCGCCTCCCCCAGCCCTCGGAAGGAGAGAGAGCGAGAGAGAGAGAGAGAGGGAGAGAGAGAGAGAGAGAGAGAGAGAGAGAGAGAGAGAGAGAGAGAGAGAGAAAAAAAAGAAGAAGAAAGAAATAAAGAAAGAGAGAGAGAGAGAGAGAGAGAGAGAGAGAGAGAGAGAGAGAAAAGAGAGAAAAGAGAGAGAGAGAGAGAGAGAGAGAGAGAGAGAGACGCCCAGCAGCAGCTCGAACAGAGAATCAAACGTTTCCTTCGGCATGCGCCGAAGGCTCTTGCGCCGCGGCCCTCAATTGCCCCGAGGGTTGGGGGGGGAGGCCTCGATGGCCCAGACAAAGCAACGAACCCGTTTGTAAGAGCTCGATCGATCACGGAAGTGTGGCAAAGCAAGGCTAACTCGGGGGGGTCCGCTTCGGGCCCTGGAGCCGTGGCGGCCCCCCCCCCCTCGGCCCCTTCGCGCGGCCCGTGCTCGTGCCCGTATTGGGCATGTGTGGACTTGGCAGATAACACGTTGGCTCTGCTGTCTCTGCCACTCGCGATGCATGGCTGATGAAGCCAAACTTTCCCGAGCCAGGGCGTCGCGTCCTGGCAATGCAGCTCGACTGGCCAAACTTATCGAGCAGTCGAATGGCCACAAGCTGGCAGTTTCAGGCAGAATTGAAGATGAAAGCTTGATTGTTGCTTGTCACTTGTGCGGCAAGTATTCCGAGTGCACCGCTGAGAACCTCCAGAAGAGTTGCCCACAGGAGTTCACCTCTACCTTTTTTTCAGAAGGCGCCTACGCGTGCCTAGCCGAGGGGAGACGCCCAAGGGCCTCCAAGACTAGCCCCATTGTCTTCAACCCTCCAGTCACGATTGACGAAATTGCTGCCCAGGTAGCCCCGGCGGGGATGAGGCTTGCACGCCGTCCTGGCGTCATTTACACCAGGGGTGGGCAGTGCCGAGTCGCCCTGGCGTCGCCACACACTCTGCGTACTTGTGCGCGCGCGCGCTCCCCGCACGCGCGCCAGGCACCCCGACTCAGGGGGAACATATATCTTCTGTGGCGCTGCCCGCAGCTACGCCCAGGCCCGATGCAGGGTCGATCCGGCGTATTGATTCGCTCCGACCGGCGGTGCTGGTGCCTCGCGGCCAGCCCTGGTGCCCGAGCTTCGGGCTTCCGCCAGAAAGGCGAGGCGTGCCGCCATTTTCACTGCAGAGTGCTGTTTCGGCGCAGCCTCGTTGCACGGCCGTTGAGCCTGCCAGCCCCTTCCACGGAGGCTGTGGCTCAAGGGGCCCCGTGGGTTCCTGGGCGCGGGGGTGGACTTGGGCTGCCTCGTCCACCCCGAGTGCTGCCCAGGCCTACTTGTCCACCCCCCGCTCCAGGCGGCGGAGGAATGCGATGAAGTGGCTAGGTGTGCAAACGCCACATCAGGGCCCAACTGCGCACTTGTGCGCGTGCGCGTGCGCGCGGGGCCCTGCACGCGTGTCAAGCATTCCGCCTCAGGGGGAAGGGGCGCTGTACACTCTCTTCTGCGGCACAGGGCTGCAGTGCCGCCTAGGCCCGCAACGGGTTTCTTTGGAGGTCTGGGTTTTGTCCTGGCTGACGGTGCTGGTTACGCAGCCAGCCCTAGAACCCGAGCTTTGTCCCCCTTGTTCACTGTGCGAGCTTTTTGGCGAGTCCCCGCTGCACGGCCGTGGAGCGCCTGTCGGCGCCCTCCATGGTGACAGCTGCACAAGGGGATGCCCCACGTGGGTTTTCTGGGCACGGGGGTGGACCTGGGTTGCCAGTCCGCCCCGACAGTGGCTCAGCCCTACCCCTCCCCCCCTCACGATCGTGGGCGGTGGAGGTAAGGTGCTGCTGCGGCTTGGTGTGCAATGCCACACTGGGCCCCAGCACTTCTATCAGCGTCGGCAGCGGACCGCCGTGTCACCGGCCCCACCCACGGCCGCTGTGGAGCACGCCGGTGGCCCAGTGCCACGAGGTTTCGGGTTAGGGTCGGGTCGGCCAACCCTTGGCCCCCCCATTGGCCAGGTGGTCCTCCTCCACCTACCCGTTCTCTTCCTCGCCACTCCTCCGCCCACCGCCGCTTCCCCAGAGCTGGAGCGACGCCCATGGACGCCAGGCAGCCGGAGACGCACCCGGCTGGATCCACATGCGGAGCACCCGGAGGCCAAGCGCTGGATACGCACGCGGCACATGCGGAGGCCCTGGGTGCGCGGCCGAAGCAGGGCCGAGCGCCGGACAGACCTCTAGCCACACGTCACGCGTACAGTCGGGGCGTTGACCTAAGGAACCCCAGATGAGGAACGCGAGGCCCTTTTTTTCCACAAGTTAGACTTCGATTCCCCATCGAGAACCTAAAGACAACCTAAGGCGAGCTGCGAAACAGTGGAGGAACACGGAGCCCCTCCCCAGCGCCCCGACTGCACCCAGCTCTCGCCGAGGCTGGCCGCGTCATGCGCAGATCCGTGGCAGAAGACCGGGGCGCGTCCCGAACCGCTCTGCCAGGATCCGAACTGCTCGGGGTCCCTGCGCAGCTCCGCCGGCCCCCTCCCTGCCGTCGCCCCCCCCCCTCCTCCCGCGCCGCCGTCGGATGCGCAATCGGCGCGCCCAGGCTCAGAAGAGGAAGCGCAGGCGCCGCTTCTTCGGGCCGCGGGTCGCCCCGCCGAGGCGCCTTCGTGATCTCCTCTCTCCGCCCCTCTGGCGTCGGCGGGCCCGTCGCGATCGGCATCGGCACGATTATCGGCGGATCGACGCCGCGCCCGCCGCGGCCGACCGCCGCGCGGGTGCGCGGGGACGGGGGCGCGCTCCAGACACGATCCCCCCAGTCGCGTGCGTCCCTCTTCCCTCTCCCCTGCGCCGCCCGCAGCCTTCTGCCCCAAATGATCTTGGCTCGAGGCCCAGGTGGCGAGCAGCCCGTACCTATTTGGGCTCTGGCCTTCCATTTCCCATCGCCTCTGCGCGATGCAGCGCGGGACGGTGCCGACGCTTCTTCCGCCCGCGTGGCGCGCGGGGCCTTACGCTCGCCGGCTGGCGAAGCACGGGCACGGCCGCGATCTGCCAGGCTGCTCGACGAACTCTCTCGCGCGGGGCAGCTACGCGATGAAGGGCGCCCTCTCCGGACAGCCGGTCGTCTGCGTCACCAGCCGCCCCTCTGACGCGGGCTGCTCCGTGGACTAGTCCTGTCGCCGCGCTGGGCGGCTCCTGGGCCCCGCCTCCTCCGAGCGCGGGCGCCCACATTTGCCCCCCCTTCCGGGCGCAGGTCAATATGAGCGGGTGGTCATTTTAAGGCCAACCACCGTCATCGTTGGGCAGCTTCGCTGGGCTGCGGGTCGCCTGCGACCTCAGCTGCCGCTCTGGCGCGGGCCGCTTCGTGGCCTGGACGGCTTGCAGCGTCTCTTCGGGTGGAGGCCGTCCCGTGCGAGGGCATTCCGCCCCAGCGGGGGTCCTTGGGGGATCGGGTTCCGCCAACTCTGCTCGCCCCTGCTCCCTTCGCTCCTTCCCCCTGCCTTCTTATCCTTCCCCCCGTCCCCCCTGTCTCTTCTCTTGCTCCCCTCCCGTCATCTTCTCCCTCCCTGGGGGGCAGATCCCTATCTCCCCCGCGGGTTTGGACAACATCGGGGGATGATGCCGCCTAGGGCGTTTGCCGTAAGCCTCCTCACTTGCAACCGCAATAACAAAACTGTTTGCTGTTCGGGATCGTCTCTTCGCATGTGCTGCACCTGCTGCAGCGCCAAGACTTGATGAGAAAAGGAATGCTTGCACGGTTGAACTTTATGTATGGAACTGCAGCATGGTTCGAGGATGGTCCAGGAGCTCAGGAGCTCACAGACAGGATAGCTCGAGGACGTGCGGCTGCAGGAGCTCACAGAGAGAGGATGGTCCGAGGGGGGCGCAGCTGCCCTGTCCAGCTGGTTCGGAAACTGTTTAACTTGAGCCCAAAAAGGCCACTTGAGCCCAAATGGTTCCAGACCCTTCTCCTCCTCCTCCTCCTCCTCCTCCTCCTCCTCCTCTTCCTCCTCCGCTCCTCCGCCTCCCGCCTCCTACTCCTCCGCCTCCTCCTCCTCCTCCGCTCCTCCGCCTCCTCCGCCTCCTCCTCCTCCTCCTCCTCCTCCTCATCCTCCTCCTCCTCCTCCTCCTCCTCCTCCGCTCCTCCGCTCCTCCGCTCCTATCCTACTCCTCCCTCCTCCTCCTCCGCTCCTCCGCTCCTCCTCCGCCTCCTCCTCCTCCTCCTCCTCCGCTCCTCCGCCTCCTCCTCCTCCTCCTCCTCCTCCTCCTCCTCCTCCTCCTCCTCTTCCTCCTCCTGCTCCCGCTCCTCCTCCTCCTCTTCCTCCTGCTCCTGCTCCTCCTCCTCATCCTGAGGCACCCCTCGGGGAGGCACAGCTGCTGAATACACACCTCTCGGGGCTGGAAAACCGCCGAGAACCGACGAAACGTGAGGGAGGTATCGTAGGGGAGGCATCGTGGGGGAGGCGCTCCTTGGCGCTCCCCAGAGCTCCTGGGTCCAAAGCGCTCCCACTGACTCCCAGGCGCAAGCGCTCCCGTGCACTCCCAAGCGAAAACCTCGAACCGCGAAGCTCGAACCTCGAGCCCCCTTCTGCCGCCTCCTCCTCCGAGCGAGCGAGCCCGCCTCGCCGCAGCCCCGGCGGCGGCCGCGCCCCCCGCGGCGGCCGGCGGCGGCCCGCCGGGGGCGGTCAGCGCCGCCGCCTCGCCGACGACCGCCGCCGCCGATCGCCACCACCGCCCCTGCCGAGCAGTCGGGGTCGTCGTCGTCGTCGTCGTCGTCGTCGTCGTCGTCGTCGTCGTCGTCGATCGAGGATCGAGGATCGAGGATCGAGAATCGAGGATCGCAGATCCAGGTTTCTTTGGATTTTATGGCCCCCGTGGCCGTCGTCGCCGCCGCAGCCGCCTCGCGCTGGCTCCCAGCTTCTTCCTCCTCCCCTCCCTCCTCGAGTTCGCGCCCCCCGTTGCCATTGGCCTGCGGCTCGCGCGCATGGCCCTGCTGTCTGTTCGCTGTCGGTGACGTCGGCTCCTCCTGACCCTGGCTACCTTCGATCGGTCACGACGGTTCGCTCGTGCGGCACAACCCGTGGAGTCAAAAGAGGAGGAGAAGGAGGGGGAGGATGAGGAGGAGACGCCGGGAGAAAGGGAGGGTGAGTGGGGGAGGAGCGATCCCCAAACGATCCCCTGCGACTGAATTAGGATTATACTTTTCCCACGGTGTCCTCCTCCCCTGAGTCCGAACAACGCACGCAAACGTTTGAAAACCTGACTGCTCGAACTTGTTAGCTTGATCCCTGGACCTTCCCTGGGGTGCGCTCTGCCCAGAATTTTCGACGTGGACATCCAGCCGTGTGGCCACGTGGGCGCAGGAGAGGATGACCAAAAACCTCTGGGAGGCGAGCCCCCATCCGCAAACCTCGAACCGCATGGCCTGTCCCCCCACTACCGTCGGGGCGCTGACCCAGGGATAGAGGGAAGAGAACTGTGCACATACACCGATTCTGGCCAAGCCGAACCCTGAGCCCAGAATCGGTGCATACGGCCTCTTACCTTGGCCAGGAAGGTATGTGCACCGATCCTGGGTCAAGGATGGGCGTTGTCAGGATCGGTGCATGTGCATAGTTCTCTTCGCCCGAAGGGAACTCTCAATAACGAACGAAGCCCCTTTCTTCCATAATTCCAACCTTGATTTCCCATCGAACAAATAAGATAAACGTCGAAGGCAAACTGCAAAACAACTTAGGAGCACGGAGGCCCTCCCAAGCGAGAAGGGCTCATTCTTCAGCGCCCCAACCGTGGCCGGTCTACCCCCTACAGCTGCCCCTGTTGAGCAATGACCGACCGTCCCGGCTTTCCTATAGTCATACCGCCAAATGTTCTTAGAACCCAACAATGTTCCAATAACAGAAACAACATGTTCTTAGATCATGAACCGATGCGTTAAAACAAGACAATCTCAGCAACACATGTTCTAAGAACATTCCGTGGAAACCACAGAAGGTTCTTAGAACATTGTTTGGTAGGGCTATAGGCGAGCCTGGACGCTTCGCCACTGCTTGACCCTGACCTCCCCCCGAGCCCCCCGCGCGGCGGGGAAGCGCCTCTGGCGGCAGCGGCGGGGGCGCCTTGAACGGCAGCGGCGCCGGCGGCTCCTGCTGCGAGAAAGGCGCCCCGGCCGAGCAGTGGGCCGCCGCGTGCTGCGGGCTCGTCGTCGTCGCCGCCGATGCCTATAGGCAACCACATACCTTGCCGTCGCTCGGACGTCCATTTCTCGTGGATGCTTCGGTTTCGTGCGTGTTTTCGTTCGCTCGATGATCCAGGATGTCCCTCAGGGGTCCTCGCCGAACAGAAAAAAATACACACGTCCGAGCGATGCCAAGATACACGTCGGGGGCCGTCCAAGAGGGGGGCGTCTGAGAGGAGGATTCGCGCAACTCATGGCCCGAGGCACGCGCGCGGACGAGGGGGGGGGGGGGACCACAGGACGTGTCGAAACACGGAGAGGGGCCACTCGATCTGGGGAAGTGTCATGGCCGCGGCCATGACATCCAACCCCCGAAGCATGACCCGCCTCTCGGCCGCCCCCGGCACATGTGAACTCTTCCTAAGACGAAGCCATGACCGGGACAAGATCGGACCTGGATACGTAGAGCAGGGATCTCTGAGGCTCGGCGGTTCTGGAGGACGCACGAGGCGCAAGGGCCGTTCCAGAGCGCTCCAGGACGCCCTGAGAGCGTTCCAGAACGCTCTGGAAGGATGCATCCCGGTCCGATGGTCGGGAACTCTTGCTCAGCGCATCGCAGCGTCGGCCCCGGCGACACGATATGCCGAGCGGGTACCGTGTTGCTCCACCACTCCGCGGGGTGGGAGGCTGGGGCAAAATGCAGACGTTACCATCACCGTCACCGCATCCTCCGTCCCTCTGGGCGGGGGCGGCTCCGGGAGCAGCAGCAGCCCCGGGCCATGGGGCAGCGGTACCTTTTCTTCGTGGAGGGGGGGTCAGAAGCACAGGCGCCCATCTTCGTTGTCGTTCCTCGTCCTCCTCCTCTTCCTTCTCCTCCTCCTCATCCTCCTCCCTCTCCTCCGTCTCTTACTCCAACTCCTCCCTCTCCTCTTCCTCCTCACCCTCCTCAGCCTCCTCTCTCCCCTTCCTCCCTCTTCTCCCCTTTCCCTCTTCCCCCTCCTCCTCCTCCTCCTCCTCCTCCTCCTCCTCCTCCTCCTCCTCCTCCTCCTCCTCCTCTTGCATCTCTCCTCGCTTTTCTCCCGTTCCTCCTCCTCCTCAGGCTCAGGCTGGAGGCTCACTAAGGACGTCCTCATCCGCCTTTTCCTCCGCCTCCTCCTCCTCCTCCTCCTCCTCCTCCTCCTCCTCCTCCTCCTCCTCCTATTCGTCCTCCTCCTCCTCCTCCTCCTCCTCCTCCTCCTCCTCCTCCTCCTCCCCATATCCCTCCCTCTCTCTTCCTCGTCTCGCTCCCTACGCTTCTGCCAGCCCGCTCCCTCCCCCTTCTGTCTTCTCCTCCTTTTCTTCATCCTCCGTCACATGTCCTTGTTTGTTATCTCAATGCGTCTGTTAGGATGTCGGTGTGTGTATGTGTTTGGTGTGTGTTGTGCGTCTGTGCGGTGTTTGTTTGTTTGTATGTGTAAGTGTGTGATAGTGTGTATGTGTGGTGTGTGTGTGCCTGTCTCTCTCTCTCTCTCTCGCTCTACCTCACCCTGTCCCTCTCGATGTCTCTCAAAGTATATACATGCATATGGTTATACATGTTTGTATATAGATATCGCTCTCTCGCTCTCTTTTTTTTTGTTTTCTCTCTCTCTCTCTCTCGCTCTCCTCCTCCACTCGACGGATCCGCGTCGATGATCCTGAAGAGCTCTGGCTGCAACCTGTCCTGAACTCGTCCCGCTGTTGCTCCGAGCGTGTCCAACTTCTGTTCGCCACACTCTTCTACGATCGCGCGAGCGTTCCGCGGTGAGCGGGCCACTTTTTTGTGGGGGGGAGGGACGCGGCGAGCGAGCGCCGAGCTGGGGCCCACGTTCCTCGGTGAGCGGGCAATTTTTTTTTGGGGGGGGCGCGGCGAGCGAGCGCCGAGCTGGGGCCCACGTGTGCTTGCTCGCCCTCAGTGGCCGTCAAGGCTCGCTCCAGTCTGCGCCCACTCATCCTCGGACCCGGGTGCGGCGGCGCCGCGTTTGTGCTGGGAGGGGGAGGGGGGTAGCAGCCTACGCCCGCGAGGCCCCTCGAGGAGGTGGGCGAAGGTCGGGGCGGACGAGCACCCGGGGCTGGCACAGGGGTGGTTGCGAATGAGCTCGCGCAGCTGGTTTTCCTGGGCGTTTCCCGGCGCCAGAAGTGGACGTGTGTCGAGGAATGCGGCGGGTGGCGGGGCCGAAACGAGCGGCACGTAACAGATGTTGTCCCCCCCCCCCCCTTCGGCGTCGGGCATGAGAGGAGATGGGAGTTGGGCGAGGAAAGGGGGGGCCCACGAGGAGAGGGGAAGCCCCTCGAGAAGGAGAACGACGGAAGCAGGGGACGGAGGAAGAGAACTGTTTTCGGCGAGGCTACCATCAGGTGTCTCAAGATACGTCTGATCAACGGTGCGACTGCAAGCAACGCTTCATGGCTGCCAACCTGGAACCCCCGACCCCTTGAGGTCTACGGCGTGTGAGGCTGCTGCCCCTCCCCAAACCCCTCCCCCAGGAGCTACGTCCGGCCAATTTGGAGGGGGGTTGGGGATTCAAAAGTGCCGGTGGCCTTGGCGGCCTCAGAAATTGCTTCCGACGGCTTCAGAATTGCTCCCATGGGGGTCCTAGACGATCCACAGCGGCCCCCACCTCTTCCCAGATGGCTCCCAGTCGGCCCAAGATGGCCTGAAGATAGCCCAAGAAGCCTCCAAGACGCCACGCGAAGGCCAACAGAGGACCCCTAGGAGGGCCCCAACAAGCAAAAACCGCCCCAGAACCTTCGGAGAACCTGCATGCTCTGCAGTGTTCCAAGGCAGCCTGTGTTGAATTGGGTCCTCAACGCTCCGCGTCTCACCTCATGCTGTCCCTCCTCTCTCCCCTCTGCTCCCTCCTCCTGCTCCTGCTGCTGCGCTCCTCACGCTCATTCCGTTGCACCCCTCATGAGTTTTGTGGCCCCATAGGGAGCTCCACCGAAGGCCCCAATGGCTGCGTTCGCTTACCCCGTTCGCACAATTTCGGCGCACCTCTCACATGTTTCGTGGCCCCGTCGGGGTCCCACCGAAGGAATCAGTGGCTGCGCTCGCATGCATTCTCCACACCTGTTCGGTGCACCCCTCCCACGGTTCCTGGCCCCAATTTCTCTGTACCAGCTCGGCGCACGCCTCCCACGCTTCGTGGCCCCATATGGAGGCCCCAACGAAGGCCCCGAGTGGCTGCGTTCGCATCCTTTCGCCACAGCATTCTAGCGCACGCCTCACACGTTCCGTTGCCCCAACATGGAGCTCCATCTAAGGCTCCGGTGGCTGCGTTCGCATGTTCGCATATTCGCGTACCTAGTTCGTACCATCTCGTCGCACCCTCACACGCCTCGCGGCTCCGTAGGGAGCTCCACCGAAGGCCACAGTGGCTGCGTTCGCATACCTTCTGCACACCGTGTCGGCGCACCCTTCGCTCGCTTCCTGGCCACATATGAAGCTCCACCTAAGGCTCCGAGTCTGCGTTCGCATGCCTTCTTGACATCATTTTGGCGCGCCCATCCCACGCTACCTGGTCCCATCGGGAGCTCCACTCATGGTCCCAGTGGCTTCATCCGCATACCTTCTCCAGACCATGTCGGCGCACCCCTTACACGTTGCGTGGCCCACAAGGAGCTCGACCCCAAGATGACCAGAAAGGACGAAAACCGCAAGGGAGTGCCGCTGCTGCCTCGTCTGGCCCAGAAGACTGCCCGACGACGACGAACTCGGCCACACGCAAGATAGGCAAGGAGGCTGTAAGGGTCTTTAGGGGGCCGCGGGGTCTGGGAGGGGGGGGGGACCAATCCAAGCGCGCAAGCATGTGCTGGGGAGACCGCTGTGGGCCTGCACTCGAGGTCACTTTGGCGAAGGGCCACTGTTACGAGTAGGAGGCAGCTGTTTTTCAGACGCTGGCAAGTTTACTCACATGGAGGGGGGAGGGGAGGGGCGTGGCGAGGCCCGAAAGGAGATCTGGACTTCACGCTGGCTGGGACTCGCTGGCACGCCTTTTCGGCCCAGCGCTGTTTGAAAAATAGGCGGGGGGGGGGGAAATGAGGGGGGGAATGCCATGCAATCACAGCCGAACATACGATCAAGAAAACAATTAGTTAGGAAACCCGGGCCAGCTTTCCAGAAGTGTCTCAAGACAAGCCTGGGCAAAGTGTTAGTGTTGACGCTGGAGGGGCGAGCGTGCGCAAGAAGCTGGGCCAGCTTCCTGTCAAGTTGGTTAAGAGCGCTGGCCCAGCTTTTCGGGAGGAGGTTTCCTAATCGGCTGCTCGCCTGTAAACTTGCCTGGGTGAGGGGCAACGAAAGGCAGGGACCAACCCACGGGAGGGAACACCGACCTGGAATCGGCGATACATCGCCGATGGGCGCCCGATAGCGCATCCGTGTAAAGTCCTGGGAGGGGTGGGCGATCGGGCCCCTATGGGCGATCAGTGGACGATTGGGGTCCGTGCGTCCCCCCTTGAGCCTATCCCCCCCTTACGTGGCCCTGGTGGTTTTCGGATGTCGCGATGTTCCCCGAACATCTTATGGTGTTGGGCTATCGTTTTGAAGAGACAACGCCCCCCCCCCGCCCCGCGTCTCCTCTTCTCCTCTCCTCCTCTCCTCTACAATAACACACTATGAATACTACTCTCCTCTCTCCTCTGATGACGTTCGGAATATGTCCGGCCTCCCTCCGCGTATTGTTTTTTACGCCCAGGATTCGTTTGAATGGTGTTTTCGCTTGGTTTTTTGTTCAAAATGCTGCTCCCGCTGACGCGCTGGCATCATTTTCAGGCTTCCGCTCGTTCCGAATCGTGCTCCCGCTGCAGCGCTGGCGTCATTTCCGCGCTTCCGCTCGTTCCGAATCGTGCTCCCGCTGCAGCGCTGGCCTCATTTCCGCGCTTCCGCTCGTTCCGAATCGTGCTCCCGCTGCAGCGCTGGCGTCATTATTTCCAGTGCAATGCCACGGCATGCAACGCCATGCTATGTGGTGTTCCGCTGTGCGATGCCATGCCTCCAGCTGCAATGCTAGGATATGCAGTGCTTGACTACGCAGTGCCACGCCATGCTATGCCATGCTACGCTTTGATCTTCAACGCCATGCTATACCATGTTCTGATATGTGCCGCTGTGCGATGACAATCTTGGCGTTGCAATGCTTGTGATACGATTCTTGACTACGCAACGCCACGCCATGCTATGACATACTACGCTCTGCCGTGCTCTTCTACGCCCTGCTATGCCGTGCTCTACGATGCATCGCGCACCCTCTCGGGATCATTGCCCTGCTCGGCATCAGGCTGTGCGAACAGAGGGGAGATCTACGCCACGGTAAGGGATGGGAGGGAGGGGCAGGACGTCAGACATGACGCGAGTGCACCCAGCTTGCCTCCTCCCCCTCGTCCCTCCTCCCATCCTTGCGCGCCTTCCTCACTCCTCCCCTCTCCTCCCTCCTCCCATCCCTGCCTCTGACCTCCACACGACAATTCCGGCGCACTCCTCACACGTTGCGTGGCGGTATGGATAGCTGCACCTGATGCCCCAGTGACAGGTCGGGCATGTCCCCCTGCAGGTTTTTTTTTGGACGACGAATCAAAAATGCCCCCAACAATACTCCACAATGGCCAAACACAGTGCGGACACAAATCGTCCCCTGGCCATGTTTTGACAATCTTTGAACTTTCTTCCTGTGGAGGGACAGGCCCGACTGAACCCCCGTGGCCGGACTCCCCCGAGCTCCCCACCCCTCCGCACCGCTCCTCCTGAGGCCCCCCCCTCCGCCCCCTGCCCGCCGTCTCCCCCCTCGCCCTCTCTCGCGCCCGCCCGCCCGCTCCCTCCCGCTGGACCCCGCCCAGCGTGCTCCTCGTCAGTGGCCGGACTCCCCCGAGCTCCCCGCCCCTCCGCACCGCTCGCACGCTTCGCGGCCCCGTAGGGCGGAGCAGCCCCTCCGCACGCACCGCCCGCACGCTTCGCGGCCCGCTCCGCCCAGTGCCCCCAGCGGCGGGACTCGCGCGCGGCTCCCCGCCCCTCCGCACGACCGTTGCGGCGCGCCCCTCACACGTTTTCGCGGCCCCAATAGGGCGCTCGCCCTCATGCCCCAGCGGCTGGACTCGCACGCTGCTCCCCGCCCCACTGCACGACCATGTCGGCCCACCCCTCACACGTTTCGTGGCCGCATGGGTAGCTCCACAGAATGCCCCAATGGCTGGACTCGCACGCGGCTCCCCGCCTCTCCGCACGACCGTTTCGGCGTACGCCTCAAACGCTTCGCGGCCCCATAGGGAGCTTGACCTAATGCCCCAGCGACTGGACTCGCATGCGCTCCCTGCTCATCCTCACGACCATTCCGACACCGAACACACGCTTCGCGACCCCATAGTGAGCTTCACCTAATGCCCCAATGGCTGGACTCGCATGTGGCTCCCCGCCCCTCCGCACTACAATTTCGGCGCACCCGTCACACGCTTCGTGGGGCCTATACGGAGCTCCACCGAAGGCCGCAGCGGCCGTCCTCGCACGCGGCTCCACGCCCATTTCGACACACCCCTCACACGCTTCGCGGCCCCTATACGGAGCTCCACCTAAGGCCCCAGTAGCAGTCCTCGCATGCGGTTCCCCGCCCGTTTCGGCACCCCCCCGCACGCTTCGTGACCCCACAAGAAGCCTAACACGCTTCACGGCCCCTATACGGAGCTCCACCGAAGGCCCCATCGGCCATCCTCGCATGCGGTGTCCCGCCCATGTCGGCACACTCATCACACGTTTCCGTGGCCCCACAGGGGGCTCCACCGAAGGCGATCCTTAGAACTGCAGCACCCGTGTTTGGGCCCCTCGCCAGGATGATCTCAAGGGGCGGTCCCTGGAAACACCGACCCTTTCCCAGGGCTGGTGTCTCGTCATCAATATGTAGTTGACGGCCCTGCGGCGTGGTCAGGGCCTCCGAGGGACAAAGACGAGGACAATTCACCGTATCGGTTTTGCGCAATACGTTGAGGATTCATGGTAACGTCGAAACTCAAACGGGAAGAGAGGAGGGAGGAGGAGGAGGGAGAGGAGGAGGAGGAGGAGGACGAGGAGGAAGAGGAGAAGGAGAGGGATGAGGAGGAGGAGGAGGAGGAACACGAGGAGGCGAAGGTGGAAGAGGATGGGGGGAGGTGAGGAGGCGGAGGAGAGAATGCGCGCCGTACCATCGACCGAGGTCGAGTTGTAGAGGAGGATAAGGAGAGGAGGACGAGGCGGGAGGAGGGAGAGAAGGAAACATAGCCATCATGAGCAGTTGGAAGAGCAGGGAGGAGGAGTAGGGGGAGAGGAGGATACTGATGATGATCAGCGGCGGATGATGAGGGAGGAGGAAGGAGGAGTAGGAAGTAATGGAGGGGAGGAGGAGAAAAGACGGAGGAGGAGGAAAGGAGGAGGAGGAGGAGGAGGAGGATGAGGAGGATGAGGATGATTAGGAGGAGGAGAGGAGTGGAGAAGGTCGCGCAGTACCTTCCGTACGAACGAGTCCAAGGTCGGATGGAGGGAATGCTGATTATTGATGATGCTGTGATGAATGCTGGCGATAGAGTGATTGAGGAGAGGGGGAGGAGGAGGAGAGGAGCGAGAGGGATGGGGGGGAGGAGGATAGGAGTAGAGGAGGAGGAAGGAGGAGGAGGAGGAAGGAGAAGGAGGCGGGGGCCGGTGGAGAGAGGGTGATGGGAAGGAGAAGGAGGAGGTGAGAGAGGATGGAGGAGGATGAGGAGGAGAAGGAGGAAGGAAGGAGGTGAGGAAGGAGGATGGGGAAGGAAGATGAAGGTGTGGAGAAGAAGGAGGAGGAGGAGGCGGAGGAGGAGGAGGAGAAGAGGAGGAAAGGAGGAGAAGGAGGAGGAGGAGGAGGAGGAAGAGGAGGAGGGGGGGATGGGGAGCAGAGCGAGTTGAGACAACTCCAGCTCAAGATCCACCCCTTGACCCCCTCACTGGTCCAAACGCACACATTTTCCGAGGTGCGCCCAGCTGTGGCAGCGAGGAGGCTCCCGAAGGCCAAACACCGTTGTTCCCAACCATCCTGTGGTGTTGGGTCCTCGTTTTGAAGGGACGGTCCCCGCGTTCTCCTCCTTCCTCCCTCCTCCCCTTCCGTGCGTTTCACCCACCCAGTACAGCGTTGGCCCCATAGAGAGCTCCACCGAAGCCCCCAATGCCACTCACTGTCCGCAAGCATCCTGGAACACTCCATTTGGCATTTTCACCCACCCGGTATACGGCTTCGTGGCATAGCGAGCTCCACCGAAGCCCCCAGTGCCACCGTCCGCATGTGCCCTGGAACACCCACTATGGTATTTCCACCCACCCAGTACAGCGCTTCGTGGCCTCATAGGGAGCTCCACCGAAGCCCCCAGTGCCACCGTCCGCATGCCTCCCGAAAACACAATTTGGCATGTCCACCCACCCAGTACAGCGCTTCGTGGACTCAAAGGGAGCTCCACCGAAGGCCCAAGTGCCACCCACCGTCCGCATGCGTCCTGGAACACCCAATTTGGTATTTTCACCCACCCTGTATACGGCTTCGTGGCCTCATAGGGAGCTCCACCGAAGCCCCCAGTGCCACCGTCCGCATGCGTCTAGGAACACCCAATTTGGTATTTTCACCCACCCATCACAGCGCTTCGAGGCCCCATAGGGAGCTCCACCGAAGTCCCCAGTAGGACCCTCCGCATGCGTCCCGAAAACCCAATTTGGCATTTGCTCCCACTCAGTACAGCGCTTCGTGGCCACATAGGGAGCTCCACCGAAGCCCCCAGTGGGACAGCCCGCATGCCCCCCCCTACCCCCCAACACACACACACACTCACACACACACGGCACACACACACACAACACACACACACAACGCACAACACGCAAACACGCACACGCACACGCACACTCACACTCACACGCACACTCACACGCACACGCACGCACACGCACACTCACACGCACCGCACACGCACAGCACACGCACACCACAGCTCACACCCGCAACACTCACACGCACACGCACACTCACACACACACACACACACACACACACACACACACACACACACACACACACACACAACACACACACACACACCCACACACACACACACACACACACACCACACACACACACACACTCACACGCACACGCACACGCACACGCACAACCACCACACCACACCCACACCCACACCCACACACACACACACGCGCACACACACACACACACACACGCGCACACACACACACACACGCGCGCGCACACGCGCACACGCACACACGCACACACGCACACACACACACACACACACACACGCACACACACACACGCACACAATGTGGCATTTTCACCCACCCAGTACAGCGCTTCGTGGTCCCATCGAGAGCTCCACCGAAGCCCCCAGTGGGACCGCCCGCCTGCGTCCCACACACCCAATGTGGCATGATCACCCACCCAGTGCGACGCTTCGAGGCCCCATAGGGAGCTCCACCGAAGCTCCCAGTAGGACCCTCCGCATGCGCCCCACCCACCCAAATTGGCAGTTCCACCCGCCCAGTACAGCGCTTCGTGCCCCCATAGGGAGCTGAGCTCCACCGAAGCCCACAGTAGGACCGCCCGCATGCGTCCCACACACTCAATTTGGCATTTTCGCTCATCCAGTACAGCGCTTCGTGGCCCCATAGGGAGCTCTACCGACGGCCCAAGTGCTACCGCCCGCATGCGTTCCCCCCCACCCAGTGCAGCGCTTCGTGGCCCCATAGGGGGCTTCACCGAAGAAGATATTCACAAGTGCAGTACCCACAACTGCATGTGGTTGGGTCCTTCGTCTGGATAATTTTAACTCGCTCCCCTCTGAGAGGAGGAGTCAGATACGAAAAAGCGAGAAGGTCTGGTTCAAGCAGGGTGATTTCGAGGGCTGCTGGGGCGCCTCAGGTCGAGCTGGGGGGTTCTCAGGTCGGGCTGGGGGGGCCTCAGGTCTAGCGAAACCAACCTTGTCCAACGAAACCTTCGGGGATCTACTGGCCCGTGTGGATGCAAACCTGGGTCAATCGTGCATTGCAGGATCCTGAAAGATCCGCAAGAATCCTGCGCGAAAGTCCAGGTCAGCGCACCCTTGGCTACGCAGGAGATTGCAACAAATCCGCCGCTCTGGCTGGCCCTCGTTTGCGGTGACCCCCGTCTCGAGGCTCCCGAACACTTCTGACACCCTCCGAAGAGGAGGAGAGGAGAAAGAAGCGGAAGGAAGAGAAGGAGGAAGAGGAGGAGGAGGAGGAGGAGGAGGAGGAGGAGGAGGAGGAGGAGGAGGAGGAGGAAGAGAGAGGAGGGAGGAGGGAGGAGGAGGAGGAGGAGGAGAGAGGGATGAGGAGGAGGAGGAGGAGGGAGGAGGAGGAGGAAGACGAGGAGGAGGAGGAGGAGCGCGCTCACAAAGAAAGGGGACGGCTGGACAAGAGCAGGGGACGAGAAGAGAAGAACCGTCAAGACTAAGATGACCAAACACACCAGCCACGCTCGGGAGGATGAGGAGGAGGAGGATAAGGAGGAGGATCAAGAGGAGGTCGGAGGAGGATGAGGAGGACAGGAGGAGGACGAAGAGGATGAGGAGGACAGGAGGAGGAGGAGGAGGAGGAGGAGGAGGAGGAGAAGGAGGACAGGAGGAGGAGGAGGAGGAGGAGGAGGAGTAGGAGGAGGAGGAGAAGGAGGAGGAGAAGGAGGAGGAGGAGGTGGCAAGTCTTTGCCCTCCAGGGGCGCCGGCTCTGGGAGCAGCCGCAGCAGCTGGTCGGCGAGGGGCAGCGGCTGTGCAGCGGCCTGGGCGAGCGGAGGCGGCGCCTTCGCCTGGCGGAGGGCTCGGGCGTGAGCGGGGACCTCCCTCGGCGCGAGGGAGGTTTCGGGCTCGAGACTGATGTTTGGTTCGGGCGTGATCGTCGGTCCCTGCAGGTTCTCCCGCCTCGGGATCCGATCCAGCAGCTGGCCTCGCGTTCCAGGGGGCCCCGGATCGTCCTCTCCTCCTCCTCCCTCCTCCTTCTCCTCCTCCCTAACCCTCCTCCTCCTCCTCCTCTTACCTCCTCCTCCTCCGCCTCCTCCTCCTCCTCCTGCTCCTGCTCCTCCTTGCTCCTCTCCTCCTTCTCCTCCTCCTCCTCCTCCTCCTCCTCCACCTCCTCCTCCACCTCCTCCTCCTCCTGCTCCTCCTCCCCTTCTCTTCCTCCCTCTCCTGCCCCTTCTCCTCCCTCTCCTGCCAATCCTCTCGGGGCGGTCGAGAGGGGTCATGGCAAAGGAGGGGGGCGGAAGGCTCGGGCCTCGTGCCTACAGGGACCTGCGGCGAGAGTAAACGAGCGAACTACATCCCCGACGAGATGGCTTTTTCCAACCCGTCGGTGTCATTCGATTCGGGTCTCTAGGGACGGTCATCGAGCCCCGGGGCCGTCAACAGTGGATCCGGGCGGGACGAACATCTGGCCCCGGGGAAACGGTCGGGACCTGTGGAGCCAGGGATTGAAAAAAACAGATCGCTGGATGTCAGGCAGGAGGGAATACGACAGGGGGATAGCGAATCAGCTCAGGGCCTTCCTTCGGCGTGAGGGAAAGAACGAACCACTTTGACATGCTCGTATCGTGGGAGAAAATCGCGGCGGAAGGTGTTTGGCCATTCTCGGCCCTCCACCGGGCCCCGCGGCCGTCAATGAAACGGCCGAGGAACGGAGGGATGGGGGAGGAGTAGAACCAGCCTCGAGCGCATCCCTGCCCATGAGACTGACGAGCCCGAAGCGACGAGGGCGACGGAGGCGACGACGACGACGACGACGACGACGACGACGACGACGACGACGACGACGACGACAGCGATAGGGGACAGCGACGACGGCAGCGACGGGGGCGGCAGCAGCGGCGGGGACGGCGGCGGCGGAATCGGCGGCGACGGCGAGAAGCGAGCCTCCGCGCCAGGCGGCGGAGGCGCTTTGGCTTCGGCGCCCGCGGGGCAGACTGAGCGCCGCTCTTGTTGCTCCAGTCCACCCACGGCATCGCGGCTCGGTGAAGCAAGCGAGAGGTATCCGAGCTTGCTGAATTAATGGAGGCCTTCAACGAGGGTCCAAATCGACGGGATTGGAGTATCGCGCCGCATCGCCACGGCATCCCCGAGGCAGTCGGCGATGCATTGGCGACCTCGGCGAAACATCGGCACCGTCGGCGTGGAGAAAATCGGAGTCGACATCGAGCCACATCGAAAATGCTTCGGCGATGCGGGGCGATCCCCCGACCCCATCTACTGGGATCTCGTGTGGGAGGGCTGGCGTGAGGCGCGCAGCTGAAGATGCGTGATACCGAAGAAGGACGCAGATACTGAACTGCGTGATACTTGACTGTAGATAGATTGCACTTCCCGTTGGGGGCGCAGAGGGGCAGGATGAAGTTCGAGGATCGATGGCCGAGGTCAGTGAACTTGTTTGGGCCTGTTCGAGCCTCCGACGACGTGATGTTTTTCACTCCGCGGCCGAGGAGGCCCCAACCCCGTCGCTGGTAGTTGTTCATCCCAGGCCCATGTTTGAAACCCACGGGACTCGAAAGCCGCCGTTGGATGCTGAAATCGCAATCAATTATCCCAGTGCGGCCCTACCTAGGAGTTGGAGCATTTAGGACAGCAGCATCTACATCTACACCGACAGCTGCATTTAGATCCACACCTGCATCTACATCTGCATCAACATCAACAGCGAGACTCACTCCTACATCTACATCTACACCTACATCTACCTCTACATCTACATCTACACCTACATCCACATCTACACCTACACCTACATCTACATCTACATCTACACGTTCGCATTGGTTTTGCTTTTGCGTTGCATTGTCTTTGCTTTAGCTATTGCCTTTGCGTTTGCCTTTGTCTACAAACGACACGCACCTAAGCTAAGCTAAGCTGAGCAAAGCTAAGCTAAGCTAAGCTAATGTAAGCTATGATATGACACACGATGCTATAATATGCTATGATATGCTATACTGTGCTGCGCTGTGCTATGCTGAGCTAAGCTATGCTATGCTATGCTATGCTGCGCTGTGCGATGCTATGCTATGCTGTGCTTTGCTATGCTGCGCTGTGCTGTGCTGAGCAATGCTATGCTATGCTATGCTATGCTGCGCTATGCTGTGCTATGCTATGCTATGATATGCTGAGCTATGCTATGTTATGCTATGCTATGATTGGCTATGACATGCTATGCTCTGCTGTGTTACTGCTGCGCTGCGCTATGCTGCGCTGCGCTAAGCTACACTAAGGTAAGCTAAGCTATGATAAGCTACACTAAGCTAAGCTAAGCTAAGCTAGGCTAGGCTAGGCTAGGCTAAGCTAAGCCAAGCTAAGCTAAGTTAAGCTAAGCTAAGCTAAACTAAGATAAGCTAGGCTAGGCAAAGCTAAGGTAAGCTAAGCTAAGATGAGAAAAGCTAAGCTAAGCTGAGCTAAGCTTAGCTTAGCTAAGCTAAGCTGGGTGAGCCCAGGGGGCGCAACTGGGGGAACCGCGGGGCGGATCCTGGGGGTACCGCCCAGGGCGAGGACCACTGCCCGGCCCCTTTCAGAGAACACAGTAAGAACCCTCTAGGCAGAGCCTAGGTAGGGAAGAAACGCATGTATTCAAGCAGACATGTTTCTTTGTCGTGGCGCCAGCGATCGCCCAACTCTTCTTTGGGCATGAAAGAAAAGGGGTCGTGGTGGAGACGGGGCCTGGGCGCTTTCCGCGTGGCCTCAACGTGTTGTCCCGGGAACCTTTACTCACGGCCCCGGGGCCTGGGAAGGGCGCGAGCACCAGAACCCACTTTTCCTCCAGGAGCCCTTTCCACAATGCTGACCCCTCCTCCTGCTCTAGCACGAAGGCGAGACGAGGATAAGCCCGGATGGAGAGCAATCTGGAATAACTGAGAACTGGCGGGGTTGGCGGGTGCATCGGGCGCCGCGGCCGTCGAAGTCCCGCCCCGGAATACTTCGGTTCTGCTGTCACTTGAGGAATGCACCATCGGGGGAAATTCGAGCACCCAGCTCCAGTCGCGTGTGGCCTGCCGAGACTGAAACTCCGTCTGCTCCCTCGCGCTCCGCGCGCTGCTCCGATGCTCTCCTCCGACGCCCGCACTCGTGCCTGGTTCCCCAGGCTGTACTGCACGACGGAACGTCGTAGAACGCACTGGCACAACACATGCGTAGCTTCGCTGCCCTGACACCCCCGTTCCGGAGCGCAGCACGCAGATCCGGGCCAGCACGCCGCATGTTGGCTCGGCACGCGTCGGCCAACAGCCTGGGCAGCCGCACCGCGCCAGACCTCCGACGGCACGGTTGTTTCTTGTCGCGCGTGGCCCCAATGCTCCCAGGGCCAGGCAACGGCCTCCCGAGCGAAAATCGAGGCAGAATCGCCAGTTTAAGATTCGTCAGCGTGAGCCCCTTACGAGTAAGTCATTAAGCTGTGGATGGGTCAGCTATGTAGTGCAAGCTATGTGGTGTGAGCTATGTGGAGCAGTCCACCTTGCAGAAGCTGAAATCGTGAACTCCACTGCTCGCAGAATCATCTCACTCTCCCACCCGCACCTTGTTTTGCACAACCAATGAGCGGCGATTGCGGTCACTGCTAGGCAATGGCTGGCGCATCTCTGTGTCTGCGCTGGCGCGCGCAAACTTGCGCGCAGGGAGCCCAGCTGGTTTGGCACAGCGATGGGGCTTACCGCTGCGGGCGGGCGCGGCACCATGATGACGTCGACAACGGCGGCAAGGATGACAATGATACCGATGATGGTGGCGATGATAACGATGACGACGACACAACCAATGACGGAGCCGATGCTGGTAAAGACGATGACGATGATGATGCCCATGTGCCAGTGATAATGTTGATTGGCTGATGATGGCGGCCATGGCGGCGAGTGGCGATGACGATAACGGCGGTGGTACGGCAGCGCTGATGAGGCTGATGGTGAGGAAGTGCGCGCGCGGAAATGCAATAACTCTTGCGGACTTGTTGTTGAACAAACTGTGTTTGCTTCATATGTGCTTGAAAAACTACATGTTGATGTAGGACGGAATTTGAATCGCGCGCGTTGCGGCGCGTGAGTGTTGCTCGCATGATCGTATATCATACGGATTGGCACGCTGGGTGCATGCTGGATCAACTCGGATGCACCACGAAGTGAAATTATACTGCGGCTTCTACACGGGATTGATGGTTTCAGCAAATGCGTGCAGGCAAGAAATCTGCGACCTAAGGTGTGATGAAAAACCTTGGCTGTTGATGCTTGCGTGTTGAAGCTTTTGCACAAATGCTGCGCAGATACTGGGATTTGTATGATTTCGACATGCTCGCGTGTGAACTTCGTGCAATCTTTTGGCAACGGACTATTGGAACTCGGATAAACGAATGTGTGGACACGGTGCGATCTGACAGGGATGAGGGGGGTCAAAACTCAGCCTGCCTGGGATGGTATGAGTCCGTTCGGCATATGCAATCTGCCAGAGGGTGCTGTTTAACCCCAGGGGGTGGCCTACCGTTCTTTTGAAGAGAGGATGCACGAGACGCAAGCGACAGGCGGCCACGAGGCGACCACGGGCGGCAACGCGGCCACGTGCCCAAACCTCGTCGGAACCACCCGGCGCACGCGGCGGCCACGGTGTGGCCACGAGCGGCAACGTGGCGAAACCTCGCCGGACCCACCCAGCGCACAAGGCGGCCACGAGGCGACCACGGCCAGCAGCGTGGCGAAATCTACCCGGCGAATCCAATTCCTTAGGGGCAGATGGCAGGAGTCCCTGGTGCATGAAGGGCTTGGTGAGGAATCCTGTCAAGGGAGGTCTGGGTAAGATGCTCATCCTGTTTGGACGCCCGAAATGGGCACGGAAACAATGGGCACAATGCTCAACAGCAAATGTTGTCCCGAACCAACAGCGGCCGCTGTTTGGTAGGCGCCCTTCTGTCTCAAATGGACACAAACCGCGGAGACGCCGACAGCGAATCCTGTTCAAAATGAACAAGAACTGCTGTCGGTCTTTGTACCCATTCTTTCCGTACCCATGTCGGTCGTCCCGATCCTGAGCCTGCGCCTCCTCCTCCACGCGATGCCGCGACCGCAGGTTGACCCAACGCGAAAGCGGCACCTTCTGTTCATGTAACCTCCCGCAGTTATGCAGGCGAGCTCGGCGGAACCTAACAGTCCGCACTCCGTGGGGTCTGCTGGTTCAGGCACTGGCCGACCGCGGGTATTTGTTGCTGCCTTCCTCCTCCTCCTCCTCCTTCTCGTCGTCGTCCTCCTCCTCCACCCCTTTTCCTTCTGAATATATCCTCCCTGTCGCACCCCGAGGCCAATCGGAAGGGCGGTCTGGGCATTTCGCCTGAAACTGTTGCATAATTTTGCGAACCTCAAGCATAATGGATGGCAGCATTCTCACAGCTGGAGGGCTGGTCGATTCCAAAAAGTGGCTCTCGCCTTAGCGCCGCGCACATACACTTCAAACGTGCGCGAAGGATCCAAGGATTGAGGACATGTCGTTGTTTCAATGTGACTCTCGCCGTAGCGCCCCGCACATTCGTGTCAAAACGTTCCAAGGTTGCCACGGATTGAAGACAGGTGGTCTTCAAAGTGTGGTTCTCGCCTCAGCGCCGCGCACATTAGGTTCAAACAGTTGCAAGAGCTTCACAGGGCGGTTCCTGTTCAAAATGTGGCTCTCGCCTTAGCGCCGCGCGCTCTCGTATTTTTCTCGAGTGCACAAGTTTCACTGGTTCTCACGGTCAATGTATCAAAAGAGGCGTGTTGGGATTCGCGGTGTTGAAGTCCCAGGAACTGCGCTCTGACACGATTGAGGGATCGTCAAAACGCAACACTCAGGCTGACCCGTGGCGTTAAAGTCATGAAAAAGGTGTTCGGGTGCGCATCAGGATTTTCGCATGGTTGTCCTCCCTTCCCTCAGAGGAAATGGATCCTTGCAAGGGCCCGTGACGAGGAGCCTTGGAGGGAGGGCGCATTCCGCAATCAGTGATGGGTCTTGGATTTACACTGG